TTACTTTCCGCCTCGCACTGTCAGGGTCACTGAACGCATTGTACCGTGCGTCCAGTGACCCTTTCCTCTCCCCCCGCTTCGCTATTACCGTCCTTGCTTTTTTTCGATTCAGCAGGTGTTGAGCGGGCCGCACATGACCTTAACATCCCTGTAGGTCAACGATCAATGATGCCGGAAGCACAGGTGCTGCTTGGGAACGGTCATCGTCCTCCTACTAATAGTGCAAACACAAAAATATTTTAACGGAAACGGAAGCGATGATGCGGAAGACTTCGCGGCCTTTCCTTTGGGAGTGTTGAGCACTTCACCTTTCTGGTCTGGGTCGGCTCTTGTCAACCCCTCGCCCACTGGCGCGGTCCCGTGATGGGTGGTGTAACACCTAAAAGGACAAAAAAAATGCAGACATTTCTAGGAGGGGTACCGAGCGGACCGATCGGCGCTTTCACTTTGGCTTCGATCAAAAGCCTATGCTGGTGGGTGTGTAGACTAAGCAGATTGTAGGCAAGACATGGTTGTACAACCAGGCCAGCAAATGGTTGCAATAGTCATGAGTACACGTATTGGCAAGAACATGGTAGAAAAAACAGGAAGTTCAAACTGCGACGGTATCTCGTGGTCATGAAGTCAATTAGATAGCGACTCCACCTGCTACTTTGTCTTCTATCGAGCCTAGGCAAGACATGATTGGACCACCAGGTCTGGAAGTTCGCGTAGTCATCAGAATACACACATAAGAACATGGGTAGGACAAGTTCAAACTGCGAGGGTATCGCGTCGTCACTACAGTAGTCAATCAGATAACGGCTCTACAGGTAACTCTCCGGGGGCTTTCTTTTTTCGGGCGAGCAAGCGAGTTTGGCTGTCAATCGCAGGATGTTCCGAAGTGCGAACATGAAAGGCATAAAAATAAAAATAAAACATCTCGGTTAGAGTGGTATGGTCGGATTGCCGGCAGCAAGACACGAGACTGTTGTGGCTGACAGCAGTCAGGAAAAAAATGTCAGTCTGAACTACTTGTAGGCACCACTCTGGCCGGGAATATACGCCACACTTTGAACTCACTGGATTATACTGTCCCTAGGTGCCAGAATGATGCAATGATGCATTAGGGGGTGGTTGGAAGACATCCCGTGGAGTGGGGGGCGATCATAGACTATATCATCTGCTGCGCGAAAAACCAAAACGTTGCGCGACTCGACTCGTGCAGTCATGGGGTAATTTCACGTGTTGCTGCCCTCGAGGAGCTCGTCCATGATAGCGCGTGTCTAACTTTCTAGCGGATTATTGATGCTTGCTGTCCCAGGAGCACCCCGGGCACCGGACATGGTGATCAGAGTTTGGCAAGGCAGTTTACCGGAGAAATCAATGCAATGACCCTGAGTGCCCCAGCTTGGGTGCTGCTGTGGGCATGGGTGTGTTCTTGGCAGCCCCGTGAGAGCACGCCGAAAACGATGCAAAAAACCGTTTCGAAAAAAAATAAAGATTGCGTGAGTTATTGCGCCGCACGTCCAAATGTGGCTTATATTCCCGGCCAGAGTGGTAGAGGACAGAAAGTTTTTCTTTTAGTGTATGAAAAGACAACAACGGCAACATTAACAACAACAACCAACAATCAACTGCAGCAGCAGCACCAGGCACCACAGACGCAATGCAGGTATTGAAGAACCCAGGAAGGGCCGTCTGACGAAAGTGTGCAAAAACTCACGCATCACTCCAGCTCCGTCGCATGGCATAGCACTCTGCCATCGGTACGTCAAACTGAAAAACAATACGACGCGTGTTTGATCGATCGACGGTCTGCATGATTCGCCACCTTTCAGGTGGAACCTCGTCATAGACATACTGTAGAACACAAAATCGCTCAGGTTCGTCCTAAATGAGGACGAGTGTACCAGACTCAAAGGTGCTCCTACGTCTATACCGCAACAAGCACGCGGGATACTGCGCCCTTTCTAACACCACCACAGCCAGCCATGGGCCTAGCAAACGCGAGACCGATGGATCTTACGGCAACGTGCACGGACCCAGCTATAATAACTATTTTCACTATCGTACCTCCGACGAACTGTTGTACCGATTACAAGACTGACAAAAAAGCGGTTACCCCGCCCGGTTTGTCCACGAGGAACCCAGGGGGGGGGGGGGAGGCGGCCAACAACACCGTGAAAAGGGGGTCGAGACCAGGCTCGAGTGATCACGCAGAGCCCCTTTGTAGCTTCCGGTGCTTGAGTGACTCCACCTAAGCCAACATCGCGCCCTCGAGCCTCATCACACCCCTCCCCTCCCTACAATGCTAGTGCTGTTCGAGTGAGGCCGAGCCCTCCAAGCTCCCAATGCCAGATCGATGCAGAACCACTGCCAGTATGTAGAACCTCAAGGCCCCAAGGCTGCGTTGATCCATCCTTCAACGCTATAAATCTCTCACAGCGTCTGCCTCTCCCGTGTGCCCTCCCCCTTTCTCAAACAACCAAAGCAAAAAAACTAGACAATAGCAGGTACGAACGGTGAATGGTCATCCACCAGCGCCACATCGAAAAACAACCAAAACACACATGGTGCCGGTCGGCTCGACCAGGCAACGAACGCATCACACCACCCACCAAGCCCGGGGAATGCACTCCCAGCCCCACTGCGAGAAACCATCGACATATTAGACCTGCCAGGAGTGAATTCAGCCACACCGGCGACACAAAAAAAAAAGCGCTACTATACATTACGGAACGGGCCGCGTCGGACAGAGCAAAGAGGCGGCTGGATGACGCCACGGACGAAACGCCACTACGCCTGCAAGAAGAAGCCACCCATCCTTCGCATCAACACGCTTGCCACATGACCGCTCGATCTACCTTCGTTGCTGCTGCGGAAGGCAGTCCGTAAACGAAGCCTTTTGCGGCGGCAGTCAGTCCCCATCATCAAGACACCCGTGTAGCTGCGAATCCGCGGCGGCGGCGGTCGCCCTTCCTATCATCAAGACACCGTGCAGCTGCAGCCGGTCTTAGCCACGGGTACGCCGGCGGGGGGAATGGTCCAAGGTCTTCGCGCAGGCGTGGGCAGCGCGGGAGGCGTCCGATTGGTTTGGGTTGGTGACGCTGATCTTAGAGTTTCCGAGCTCGAGGTTCCGGATCTTGGGATCTCCCACGTGCGGCACGAGAGTCACTGTTCGATCCGGAGGGGGGGGGGGGGGGGGTACGCGCACAAGACATCGATCCGGTGGAGGGGGGGGTACGTGACAGGAAGCAACAGGACGAACGGTGTGAGTGCATGCAAAATAGAAACTGAGCACAAGGATGGCGCGAACATTTCGTTGTCAGCGGGGCAAGCTACGACGTGCTGGCGGGGCTCCTCTCAAAGAGGCATCCGAAAAAAAACGCTGTCTCGTGTGCCATACAGTAGCAAGGTATTTTTGCGCGCGCCCCCGTGCCCCGTGCCTACTTATGACACACGCAACCCCTTACAAGGAGGTGGCGCGTTGTACAGGAACTTTCAATCATTTTTTCTCTGTCCAGGATTCTCGACAGTGATTTTCACACCAACCGAAAATGGGCGGCAAATACTCAGTCAAGAAGATGCTCGCAAGAAAGCACCAGGCACAATCTGCGAAGGGGAAGTTACAGGGAGGCCATTCGGACTGGACCGGGGTACAGGATGGGACCGTAACGCGTTGCAGGACGGGACTTGGACATCACAGTTGGCCAGGGTCGCCAGGTACACTGTTGCTGCTGCTGCTGCTGCTGCTGCTGCTGCTGCATCCGTCAGTTTTTTTGTTGAAAACATGACCGCGCCAACACCCAACAACACCACAAACGAACACCACTACCCACTACCCTCCACCACGCCAGGTGTGTACTGACATTGTGCAGGGAACGACGGAAGCGAGCTACGCCACGCTCGACATCACCAACAAAAAACATCAAGCACCACCACTCCAGCCATTTACGCTTGTTGTACCGGGGGTAAGAGACGCCAAACTCACTTGCGATATCCGGCCGTCCCCCGGTGGCGAGCTGGATGTCGAGCACGCCGAAGTTCGGACCGAAGATCCATCCGTGGTGCTTCACCTACAAATCGAGGCGGTACATACCCCCCAGGCGCAACAAAGGCACGAATACGGTGTCTTAGCACAGTCGGTGCTACAAGTGTTGTTGCTGTTGTTGTCTTCACATTGAAGTCGTCAGTTGCTAATCCCAAAATCTAGCAAAGCTCGAGTCCGTGGTAAATACAACGCTAGAGCCACCAGAAGATATAAGCGTGCGGAAGAAAATAAACGATCATCAAGAAAAGGGGGAACGCGGTTGTGACACGGTGTTTTGGGGCAACCGCCAATCGGAAGAAGAGAGTGACGCCCACGCCTCCCCCGACACACCTGCTTGACTGATCCTCATCATCACCCCCCCCCAAGGTGCAACTTCTTCCACCCATTAATCCACCACCGGCAGTGCCACCTAAATAGACGCTCGTTTCGGCCATGGCTACCACCTTATCACACACCGGACACAACGTAAGTCAAATGCTACCTTGAACTCGAACATGTGCTCGTCCGCGTGCATGATCCCGCGCAGGAGGCTCTCCTTGACGATGTCGAGGTCCTTCTCCGGCGTGTTGCCCACGGCAGACGCGGTCATCTGGTGCAGCGGCACGCTCGCATCGTTGTGCTGCAGCGCGGCGGGGCAGACAACAGACAGCCCCCGACAGATGAAGAAAGGGGTCAACGGTACGGAGGCGAGAAAAAAAAAAAACGAACAAGGATGAAATCAGAACGCTGAGCTGATAAAGGCAGTATTAGGAGAAGGGCGGCGTCCATGCGCAGCGATACCGTCGACCAACCGACCAGATCAAAAACCCAAACGCAGAAAAACTAAAACCAACCGGCGGGAATCAGTGTTATCTTTACGTGAGTGTACGGGCAACGTCAAAAGCGAGCGTAGAACAACGAGACGGCAACTACTATCCCCCGCCCCCCTCCCTCCCACGCCCCCGCCACGGAGCCCCCGCCTCCGCTCTCACCCACGAGTCCGTGAAGCCCCCGATGTGGACGTCACCCGCAAGCGTCACGACGGCGCGGTTGGGCTTGGCCGTCTGCCAGTTGCTCAACAGAGACGTCATAGCCTTCTGCTCCCTGTGTACACGGAGGTCCCATAACGTCCCAAAGGGTGTAAAAGCGACACACACGACAAGAGCGCGAGAGAGCGCAAAAGCGGCACACGTGGAGGCCCGCGAGAGTGTAAATAACAGCGACGCAACGTCCCGATGAGCGAGGAAGCGAATTGGCCAAAGAGAGAGCCTGTACAGCATCAACATCACCAACAGCAACAGCAACAGCAACAAACCCAGACATGCGCGCGTAGCAGACAAAGAACAGGCGGAACGTGCAAGGCGCGCCAAGAGCCAACAGCAACCACGAGGAAACAAAAGGGGGGGGGGGGGGGGGGGTACTCATAGTCGTGCATGCCGTAGTCGTTAGACCATTGACCTCGCATCCCTACAAAACCGGGACGGAGCACGCCGGGTTCTCACCGGACCAGGCTCTCACATCACCAAGCGTGAAGCGCCGTGAGGTATTCGGCGAGTCGCATGAAGGGTGCGCTGCATCCTGCTAAGGGTGTTCGGCATCTTGTGCGTACTTCCTTGCGTACGAATGACAGCTGCTTATGACTTGACCTTATTTCCTGGTGATTTCACTTCCAGGGACAATTATAAGCGCTGTGTAACTGCCTCGAGGGTGCTTGGCCATTTTAACACAACGTGCGATCATCCCCTTTGCGCGGAGTGAGGGTTCTCGACCCCGCACAACATGATCTACTTCACCCACCATTATGATTACCGAAAAAACAAACAGAGGCAAAAAAAAAGCGATAACCTGGTTGCCGAGCTCACGAAGTGACTTAGCAGTTTTACAACGTCGCTGCCAAGCGACGAAAACCCAACTCCGATGGCAAACACCGAGGGAAGGGGGGGTTGCCAACAAACGACGGGACCCCCAGTAAAAAGGGCAAGAAAAGACGCGTGGGAATCGGCAACCTAAACAACCACAAGCACAATAAATTTGTCGAAAGCACACACCAGCACCAGCGCTCGCAAGCGACATGCCAGGGGGGATTTATTTAGACGGATGGTACCCCTACTCACGTGATGAACCTCCTGTGCCCCCAGGTGCCCCTGGCGTCGTCGATGATCTTCTCCGCGACACCGGTCGCCCTGCACGCGCGCGCGCAAAAAAAAACAAAAAAAAAAAGGACAAGCGTCAACGACCCAGTAGCCTTCGCAGGATTTTTCGATTAAGTAAACATGTTGGATGAATCATGCAATCGGGGAAGTTGGGGTTTAGGGTTGAATAGGGTCTGCGTGCCCCCTCCCTGTTCTATTTTTTTTTTCCTCAAAAACTCCATTTCTCGCGAACGCGGTCCGAAAGACGACGCCAGGACACAAGGAAATCAAGGCCAGAGACAACAGTCACCGCTGCAAACAAGGACGCCATCGGCCTAACGATTGTAAAGGTGGGGCGGGGACGCAAGAGCAATGAGGTATGGCCAAGAGTCGCAAGCGGGTGGTGGTGGCGTCACGATTGTAAAGGTGGGGCGGGGACGCAAGAGCAATGAGGTATGGCTAAGAGTCGCAAGCGGGTGGTGGTAGGGATACCAAAAAAGAAAAGGCGGCGGCGTCGGTAGTTTCGCAAGCGAGCACAGCGATTTGTGTGGCAAGAACGAGCTCAGCGTTAGGAGGCTCCGACGATGCGAAACTACAGCAGCCGGAAAAACTCCGCTGTTCCCGGCCGTCGCCATACCGCGATCTACCGCAACCACCAGCAACAGCCCTCCCGTCAAGGAAAGGTTATCGGTAGGCCCGGAGAAGCGCGGTCTGACACCTACAGATGGCAAACAAGCATCAATCAACACAACAATAATAAAGAGTGTCTAACTCAAACTTCCCTGGTCGCTGTGTCACAAAAAAACGCACAGGCGAGAGAAAGGACTCCAAAGCTATAATAGCTGGGCCGACGAGAGATGCCAAGAGGGGGGCTCTGCCGGCTTGCAAGAGATCAAGACAAACCAAGACTCAAAAGCTCGGCCCACGAATCAAGATTCCAAGAGGGTGTTCGCCGGCTGCAAGAGATCAAACTGCAATGACGAGAACAACGTTCACAAGACAAGACCAAGACGACTCGAAAGCTCGGCACACGAAAAGATTCCAAAACCCAGCTGCAAGAGAGCGATGCCGGGCTACGACCCTGACTGCCCTCTATACTCACGCCTGACTGATGAAGACCAGTGGGGTGGGCGCCCCGAACAGCACCGTCTCGCAGTCCGCGAAGTCCGTCCGGAACGCCTGCTCCAGGCGGGTCCACTGCTTCGGACCCAGGAACTCTCGGTCCTTCCACTCCGCCTCCGAGGTGCCATCCTCGTACCTGAAAGTGGAGGTGGTACACCACAATGCCAATCGTGCCGTGCATGGTCAAGATATTAGTTGCGCCGCACATCGTCAAAACATATAGAAGAGGGGGGGGGGGGGGCGTACTCCTACTCGTGCCTGCCGTAATCGTTAGACCTTTGACCTCCCATCCCTACAAAGCCGGGACGGAGCACGCCGTGTTCTCAC